ACATACTTTTTTACTTTTTGTGATGAATTTTAATTTATAAAAAAATGTTAGACAATGAAAATAGAAAAATGCCTCTCTTTTGTCTGTTCACATGTGTTACCAGCACGCCTTAAATAGTTATGTTACTATTGCTTCACCCTAAAAGTTTGGTCGACTGGATATGTAGTGTGTGCATTGTCACAACAAGTCAAATATATAGTTATTGAGTTAAAAAACGGAATATATATATAACACAAAAATGTTATAAGAGATAAAAGTTAAAAAAAAAAAAAAAAATCGTGTTAAATGTGAGCTACTCTATTAATCATGCAATAGTGCTCTGCCACTTGTTTTGGTGAGACAAGTTACAGCCAATGTTTTGAAGCCATATCACTCTCTCAAATTAACCCTATAGATTAGAATCAACATGCATCCATAGAGGATCGTCTAGAAGAGCGATAGTTTAATTAATCAAATTCGCCAAAATTTGGTCACATGTGGGTAACTATTGTGTGTGTGTGGGTGAAACCAATAAATTAATTGAGAGGGTGCAAAAAAACATGGAAAAAAAATTTTGGGGTGCAAAAAATAATTTAAAAGGGGAGAAAATTAAATTTTTTAATTATAATAGTAAAAAAATTTAAAATTTGAGGGGGGCCAATTGCCCCCTATGTATCAATGTAGTTTCGCCCTGTGTGTCTGTTTAGATTACATATGGGCAAATTAAATAGATTGTCCTGTCAAATTAAGAATTGTGACTAGAGATAAGCATAAAGCAAACATGCTTTATCTTGCAAAGTACAGTGTAAGAATAAGTAACCCAAAATTATTTGGCTCATAATTCATTAATTGGATTAAGATTTATTAATTAATAATAATAAAAAATCTGCTAATATATAATGGACATATCAGATCTCAATGGAGGCCCCATATACTTATCGATTAAGAAATTTTGTTGTCTTTCGACCATATACAACAAATGATTTATACAAAATCTAAGACTACAATTACATATAATGCTACAGAATTTAAGGAGAGCAATTGTTAGCATAGATATCCCAGAAGAAAGTACTATCCTACCATCATTCTAAGGTGAAATTTTTGCTATTATGAAATATCTAAAATACTTGAAGCCGCAATCTAGCTAATTTTACTGTCCAATATCGAAGGAAATGTTGTTCCCAATGTTTTAGTTGACACAATCTCACAAGATGCTTCATAAAGTGTAACAGTACATGTATTTGGTATCTATAGATTTCTCATAAAAATTGAAGGAAAATGGTGAGGCATAAAATGTGCACAAATAAAGAGGTATCTTTAAATTTACCCAAAATAAAAATAAAAAACTATATAAAAATAAAAGCTGAATAGCCAATTTGAGCAACCAATATCCATTGCAATGTAACTTTTAGTTTCTACTTTTTTGGTTATCACAACATGAAAAATATGAAGAAACACATTAAGGTGATCATTGTGACCTATCAATATCATCATGCCTCCCAAAGGACAATGGCAAGAAACGTGTTTGTTCAATGTTGAAAAAACTGCTCGTCATGAAGATGTCATTGAACACGTGGTGATCAAAGCTTAAATATATATCCACATATTTTCGGTTGTACTTTTTTACTTATTGAACAAAATTGTATATGAAAATTATGCATTGTCATAGTACTTTTATTTATGTAAGTTTAACGTATGGTAAAACGGTACGAAGTATGCATGCTAAGTGCTATATATGTCTTACCAACAACCCCCGAAAGAATAGTTAAGATAGCATCACCAAATTTCAAACAAGTCGTTTCCATCTTTTTTTTNTATTTAATGTTTAGGCCAGTATTTCAACTATTAGATTCAAAGGCTTCTCTATTTCAACCAATACAAAACGACTCTTCAAATATGCAAAAGCCAAAGTTAGTGAGTAAATGAGTGCCCTCTATAAAACTTGAAGCAAGGGCAAGTTTTTTTTTCTTGTTGAGCCTTTTGGTCACTAATTACTCTGTACTAAAAGTCGGCATAGGTGCTAGACGGCACTTAAGCGCCAATACTTTTGTCTAGGTGTTCTAACGATTAGACAACGTCTAGACGGATTAGGCGATTGAGAAGCTACTCACGTCATCTTTACAGTGTCTAGGAATCTGTATATTTTTTTATTTTCAAATTTTATAATCTACTTTATAAAAAAATAAAAATAATTTTAATTTTTACGCACGAAATTTATATTAATTGTATAATAAAAATATTAAAATTATTTCACAATTAATACAATACTTATGAATGCATTAGATTTTAAATAATCTTTGTATTCGACCATATTAATTAATATATTTTATATATGCATGATGAAAAAAATATAAATAAATTTATTAATTTTATAAAAACCGTCTACACCCCACCTAGACGCCTTAGGTGTTAGGCCCCAATCCACCGGCTAGCGAACTACTTTGAGAACATTGTCAATTTTCATCTCCTCTATTTGCTTCAACATTAGGGAGGTTGATCTTCAGACGTAGGTAAATTTTCTATAATTTGACATTCTTGTATCTTGACATTATATTTGCCTAACAGGATAATAACTTTGGGAATAGGATAGGCCCTTTGAAAAAGTTGCTTGAAAGTTATAGTTATGGCCTAATTACACTCCTTCACCATATTGGAACCATAGTCGTACATTATAGAAACAACCAGCCCCTACTACACTCACACGAAAAAANGCGAAAAAAAAAAATAAATAAATAAAGAAAACGTTGGCAAATATACAATATTCATGATGAACAATAAAAGAAAAATACAATTTAAAGACCAATAACAAAAATAAAACCACAAATCAATCATCATAGGCATATATGTACAATTAAAGAACTCATAAATTTATAAATAAAAATGAATTTCTGTAATATCAGTTTTGCTATGGAACCATCCATAATTATTCACAAATGGTTTATTGACACGTGTCCTGTAATAAATATGCATTAGACATGTGTCAGAATATAAAGTTATGAATGACTCCATAAAAGAACCATCCGATGACTCCATAGATGGGTAATTATACATTGAGTACACATTTGGACATGTGTCCTGTAATATATGGATGGAGTAATTATACATTGAATACATTCTTAAATAAGGGTAAGGCTACAATCCCGTTACGGAACCATTCCGTTGGGATTTGTAACCGTTAGATCAAGCATCATTGACGGTTATTTGATGATCTAACGGTTACAATCCCAACGGAATGGTTCCGTAACAAGATTGTAGCATTTTCCCTTAAATAAATGGGGCTCGATTGCCGACTTCTTAATAGTTACACAAAAGGAAAAGAAATCAATACGCACGTTGTTTAAATGTGTTAGTGGGCTAATTGAATTTCTCAAAACCTCTATTCCATAACGACAGGCCGACATAAATTTTACACAACACACCTAAACTATCTATGGGGCCCACTTTCTGCCCTGCACTCTTGAGATTAGCTCTTTCAAAGAAAATAACACAAGTTCGACTTGTCACCATAATTTGCCAAGAAATTTGTCCGTGTACATTTCTTCTATACAAGACAGTATGAGAAAATATAAAATATGCATATGAAATAAAATTTGTTCAATATTTCAAAATAAAATATGCATATGAAATAAAATTTGTTCAATATTTCAAAACGGATACAAGATCCTTCTGCAAACAATTCACATAAGCAACTGTCTCATTTGAATTGTGATGTGAGCATAACAAAGAAAAGGGAACTCTCTGAGTGAAAACTCGAAAAAACCATCATCAGGCATCAGCCATTTCAGAAGCTTCTCAACTCAAAGTACCTCAAAACAGGTCAATCGTATATTAGTGATAAAATGATATGATCGATCCAAATGACACGATAACAACATCTTTTTTCAGAAAATAAAAAAATGAAATACATTAATAAAGGATTATGCATCACGTGCATAGGACAAAACAAAAGATGGTGGGAGAAAAATATGCAGTTTAGATAAGATGGTGGGCTCATCCAAACACAAAGTCGAGCGAGGAAAAGTATTTTAATCACTTCAAATCATGTGCTCATTTTCCGTACAGGATAACTCATAGCCACAAGCAATGCTGTCAGCTAGCTAGCGGTTGTCACAAAAACCAATTTAGATATTTATGAGGTGAAATGATGGCTTTACAAAAGCAAAGGAACAAATTGCATAGCAAAACGGATATGATTGAAATAATGCAACAGAAACAAAGAATAAAAGATGTAGCTTGAAATGTTAGTTTTTCTTGTGTGTTCCATTATTATTGAGCAAGTGTCTAATGCAAGTGGAAGCATACTTACTATAAGGTATTTTAACTAATTTATAAGTGAATAAAATTTTGTATTTTCCAATACAATCATGAAGCAATCTCATGATACTGCTCAGAAACCGAATATGCATTCAGAGCTAGTTCATTCGACACAGATATTCATTAGATTACCAGATATCTTATTCTTCACCTGTTACCATTTAGATTTTGATAGAGACGAGAATAGGAACTAACACGGCATACTTAGGGACCACAATGCTATGTGCTGTACTTAGGCCTGTAAACGAGACGAGCTCGAGCTCAGCTCATTAAATAAACGAGCCAAAAATCGAGCTCAAGCTCAGCTCGAGCCGATCTCGAGCTTTAACGAACGGAACTATAAAAAATTATATAAATAATCTCTTTGCAAGCCTTAATGAGCTGAGCCGAGCCAGACTCGTTTATTTAACAGCACTAGTTGTACTATATCAACACCTTGTAAACCACCTATCAATTGGAACGCCTTTTCACCATACGGAATGACTATGTCACAATATTGACTCGGTAACTCACACAAACGAGACGAATCATCAGTACCGAGTATATTTTCAGTTGAAAATATCACCATGATTATCAACATCTAATAGCTCTTTGATGCCTTGGACAACTTCAGTAGATAAGATATTAGCAGTGACCTAATCAAGAAAATAACTATACCTACAAAACTTGCTAAGCCATATTGCCATAATGTGTAATTTCAGAAAATATAACAAACATATAATCATAAACTAACCCTGAGAGCCTTCCTTTTTAATCTGTTCATTAGTGAGAACTGCCTCAGACTTAACCTGACAACATCTCCAAAATAAACATCCAAAGCCTTCTTCGCATTTTGGACCCAAGGATGTTCTGTTAACATAAAGTGTTCATTTCAAAGAAATATTCCACAACTAAACACATGCGCAATAAACCATAAACAGGGAGTCTGTATCAAAAGATTCACTAAAACAAAATAACCGGTCGACAATCCTCAAATTTGTCCAGAGCCCATGCATGTAGCCAATAGAGCATTGCATATGTTGAATTTACAATAGGTTGTTAATCAAGACTTCAGAATGCAAATTCTCTAACAATAACAAATAGTTCAAAATAATTACTCCAGATCATATAATTTCAGACCATTATCTGATAGGAGTAAAGGGCCAATGTAAAAGAAACTAAATATTATTAATTAAAAACCAAAAAAAAAAGAACACAAGCTACTCCAAGAACACGAAGTTCTCCTCGGGAAATAATTTCCCGCCCAAGCTAAAAGGCCGACAAACAATATTATTTCTCTCAATACCTAATCATCACTTCCTCACAACCCTTTTATAAGCATATTATTTATTTAAGGTAAAAATTATAAAGAACAAATATGATAACAATTTGATAGCCTTCCATGCCAAGTAGGATCCCATGATTCCAGTCAATCCCTTGATTTGTGCATTAGATACTTTATTCCATTCTTACTTTCCTTCTCATGATTTACTTTCCTAATCTCTATCATTATCCCTCTGAATTTTCCTTTCAACTACAAACTTAAAAAAGGGGAATGAAATACCAGAAAAATAACTTAAATAAAGACAACAGAACAAAGTGACAGACACGGTGGAAAAGATGTGTGAATTATAGTGGTAAGGGATTGTGAGAATTCTCAGAAGGGATATTCAACTAGGCTTAAATGTAACATACCAAGAACTTCTTTTATGTCAATCGAAGCTTAAAATCTGGCTTCAGCATCTGTTTTACTAGGCTCTTGGCACTCTGATATATTTGGCCATGGTTCGCATTCAAAAGCTATTTTCCCTCATATGATGGCCTGAGCAACACCTTGCTCAGATTCTGTGTAGAAAAATCACATAAAAGGTCATGCCGCTCGGAATTATATTAGAACTTAACAATAGTGTGTACACACTGACCCACACTCACATACACACTTACACACAGAGAAACACAAGAACTTCAAGTACCAGCCCAGAATGGAGGAACTCCACAAAAAAGGATATGAAGAACCACCCCTTCACTACATATATCTATATGTTGACCCATAATTCTGCTTGAGAACCTCTAGTGACCATGCGGTAAGGGCTTCCCACAATTTCGGACAACTTATTCCACCTCAAATCTAAGAGTTAATGGAGTCCTAGAATCATAATTATTTTTATTTATTTCATCATGCATATTCATAAGAAATATATTAACTCTAGCAGTATGATATAATAGCATTATTTTGAACTACAGGCATATTCAAATGCATCTAAGCTCAGAGATAGGAATTAGATGAAATGACAAAAGGATGTATAGTAGGAAACTTGACAAAAAGATGTATAGTAGGAAACTAGAAATCTTTAGATACAACGGGTAAGCATTTAAAAACCCAATCAAGGAATCTTTACAAGAAAAGAGAGAGAAAAAGGATCACAAGAAGTTTGATTATAGTTTTATCAGTAAAGCTCAACATTGTTCATTAATACAATATTATTGCAACTCTATCATATGAAAACTTCAATGCGCTCAATAAGCCATGACATGGATAGTGATTAATTTACCATAACACAGACTAATTAGATAGACATTTTCCACAATACAGAAAGCACGAGAGCTTTAACTGCAATACAGAGTTTATCGAGGAAACGCCACCAAATTATAAATACACCAGTCGGCACTACTATGCACATATTGAATTGTGAGCTAATCAATCCTTTCATGGAGGCGAATCAATCTATTGAACAGCAGATAAAGGAAACACATGGGTTTATTTGAAACAAAAATGTCCTGCATAATCCTACCCTTAGTCCCACAAGATCATAGCCACACTCCACCCTAGCTTACAAAAAGACTTGCAGATGAAATTCAATACACATGAATGAATTTAGACTTAAGGAATCCTCATTTCTTAGAGAAACAGAATTTATTCATACCTGAGCACTTCTGAGATACTTCTCCTCGACGTTCTCCTTTTTCACGTCCGTCAAGGCGGGTGACAGACTCCTTAGCGTCGCAGGAATATTTTCTCGCCGGTATCAGGCGTTTCCGGAGAGATTGCATGACTCAACGACGGGCGACGGCCGCCAGAGATCCATTCAGAACAGGGGATTCGCCATATGAGGTGTGACGCAAGTAAGGTCGATTCCACGACGAGTAATCGGAATTATGAAAAGCGATAAAAATGGGTTGGTTTAATAACTTAGATCCTGAAATTATAATGAAATAAATAAATTCTAAACAATAAAAATAAAATAAAATAAATAAAGAGAAAGATAGAGTTCACAGTTCTGTCTACACTCTCGACTTGTCTAATCAACTCTGGTATCCAATCTCGCTATCTCATGGAATTACTAGTCCTAGGCAACGACACGATCTGTTACCCAAATTTAGAGTTGTATCCAATCTTGCTATCTCATGGAATTACTAGCCCTAGGCATGTGTCTGTTACCCAAATTTTTTCTTATTTTTAATTTAATCGCGAAACGCTCTACGATTAAATCTGACTTCTTGTACAGTTTAGAAAAATATTTTCAAGATTTAATACAAGTAGTCGCTACCCTCGACCGACTTGTCTAATCAACTCTGGTATCCAATCTCGCTATCTCATAGAATTACTAGCCCTAGACAACGACACGGTCTGTACCCAAATTTTTTCTTATTTTTAATTTAACCGCGAGACGCTCTACGATTAAACTTGACTTCTTGTACAGTCTAGAAAAATGTTTTCAAGATTTAATACAAATAGTCGCTTTACGAATTAGAAAAATAGGCTAGACTAAGTAGTGAACTCAACCGCGTTCGTTCACTTAAATAGGCCGTGTTATCTCCGGTAGTTACCGTCTTTCGATAGACTCTAATGAACTAAACACAACAACAATTACGGATTGAAGGTCTAATTCAGCTGTAGATATGAAAAGCCTAATCTAAGTGATCAATCTAAATAAGACTCAACACATCATGGTTAATTATTCAAAATAACACAAACAATTATAAAAAGATATTGAAATTCTCAACCATATAAATTAATCAAACATCGTCAATAGTAGGGTTTGACTTCCCCGTAACTAGAATAAAAATCTACTCTAACATACTAATAAAAATAAATAATAAAAAAGAAAAGAGAGAGAATAAAATTCTCCCTCGTGTGCGGGTGCGGTCTCCCTCCGCGATTAACGGGTTCTCGTATGTGTCCGCGTCTCTTCCTTGCGCCTGTTCTCTCTGTTTTGCGTGAATAAATTCTTTTCTGATCCCCTCCTTTGCTGCGTGAATATCTATATATATATGGCTTCTCTTATAAATAATTTCTTCCTCACTTAATGTTGGTACGTGATTTTCTCCTATTTGGAAAATAATTCCAAAGGCCCCCAGCATGTCATGGCTCTCCAAAATAAATCACTCCCAAATTAATTCCAAGTGCCCAAATTATTTGCCAATTAATCTCTTCCAATCAATTTGTTAATCCCATCAAAACAAATCCCTCCTGTCCCCCACGACATAAAAAACTCTTGGGCCAATAAGTCATGGGCTTATATTGGGCTATGAGTGGGACGCTCGATTTGGTCTTATGGGCCCGATAATTGATCATATCAACTTTCGTCGATTGCTTCACGTCTAAAAAAATACTCCAAAATCTTAAAAATAAACAATAAAAATATCAAAGCACCAAAATTCATCTACTAAATAAATAAGTTGAAAAATATATACGTGCGAATAAACTAAGTGTATAAAAATACACGATTAAATATATAAAACGTGCACATTCTTCGACCTATCAAATCTCCCCAAACTTAAACTGCTGCTTGTCCTCAAGCAACTTACAACTATAAGCAAATAGATGGACAAGAAAACAAGTACGTGGAACTTTACTCAGGGCCTCACAGTTCTCACATAAATGCATAGCTCAAACAACTCGAAATAATTTATCCGGACTCAAGATGAAATCATTCTAGGAACTCAAACACATCAAGTATTAATATAAGTGACCACCATAGTTTGTCAATCTCTATAACGAATGTATCGATCAATGTAACTCATGACACCCCTCTCTTTGCTAACAAGTCTAGATTCCTTCCGTTTCTAGCCGAAGTCTAAATGTCTCTTTCTCCATTTTCTATTTTTTTTTCTCTTTTTTCTCTCTCTCTTTTTTTTTCGAAGTAGGGAACGGCAACTCCGTTATAACCTGTGGTTTTAGCCTTTCGTGATTGTCTCGATACAAGAATTATTAGAATTATACACTAGAGCCCCCACAGATTGGCAGCTGTTGCAGCCCATGCTCTTTTTTTTTTCTTTTTTTCTTTTTTTTTTTTTTTTTTTTATTCTATGAGACATAAAAACTCCAACTTTCAACTTCAAGTCCCTAAACTTAACCAACATTGATTAAGGCAATCACAAGCACATCTCAACAACACAATTCGCCTCAAAACCAACCCAGCATAAATGAATCACAAAAATATCAACTATCATGCCTTTGTCTCCAAAATAAAAACACCTTAAGAATTTAACCAAATAAAATTAACTCAAGCCATTTAAACTAGCACAATAAATCTGAACCGGCTCTCATATCATCATCGCAAAATTCCACACCAGTGCATTCATTGGGATTGTGAGGGCCCATTAGGGTTGGCCCTCTCTACCCCTTTCAGATCAAGTTTTAGCTTTTTACCTGCTCTTGATGCTTGTGAGAGTATATATGCAGCTGCTTGTGTGTTATCCCGTTCCTCTCTTATTCTTTTTGTAATGGAAGCTCCAACTGATGTTGAGTTGTTTGGTTTCCTTGAGCAGCTATCTTCTGATTTGATGACTCTTTTCCAAGTTTTCCTGGAGGGTGTGGGAGCTTGTTGCATTTGGTTCTGAGTATTCATTAACAGTGGGTTGCTTTCTTTGATTTCCTTTGGTTGAGGATTTACCAGCACCATGTCTGTAATGTCATGTGTAGTGGTGTAGAGAGTTGTGACTGGTACTTGATGGAGTGTGGTTGTATCTATCATTTCAGTTTCCTTTTGTAGTTCTGTTAATCTCTCTGAATTATTTTGTGCTGTGGCCATTTCTTGATCTAGGGTGTCTTTATCTTGCTTTCCAGGTTCCTTATGCAATTCCTCTGATTTCCCTGAATGTTTGGTTGATGTGTTATTTGGGATTTCAGAGTTAAGCATTGGGGGTGATTTGGATACTTTAGCTGCTCCCTCATATCCTGTCTGATTGTCACTTGGATTTGATGGAGATTCTGAGTTTTGCCGATTTATTCCTTGGTAAGTTTCCAAAACCCGTATCCAATCTCCAAATTGTCCCTCTTGGAGATTGCGATTTGCAATATCTTCCACTCTCGTTGAGCAGGCCTTCTCTATATGCCCCACTTTCCACAATAGAAACATAAATTGATCAATCTTTCATATTTAAATCCTACGGTTACCTGTTGTTCCCCCAACCTTATACTAGCACATCTTGGCAAGGCTTCTCGTAGATTGATGTCCACCAATGTTTTGATAAATCTGCCTCCCTGGTTTGTTGAGTTAACTACAGTCGCATTGCGAACATCTGAAAACATTCTCCCCACCTTAAGACCCACTTCTGTAGTTATCCAATTCAGAGGCACCTTATGTATTTGTACCCACATTTTCAGGAAATTAAACCCTTCATGATTAGCGGACATACCTTCCTTCCATTGTTGAAGAATCAAGTATTTATTTTCAAAAATCCAATTTGTACCTCCCATTACCTTTTTCCTATCTTCTTCATTTTCAAATATGAACTGAAAAAAGTTTATTCCCAGCTCTCGAACCTCCATTGCATTTTGTATTTTCCAGATGGTTCCCATCGCGCTCTTGATACCTGTCAAACTTGCTCTCTTATCTCCTATTATTTTCCCAAACAAACTTTTTTTGCATTCCATATTGCTAACCTTGACATCTTCATTTCCTAGATCAATGACTGTGGTCTCCTTAGTCGAGAGGGAGATCGCCTTGAGCCGATCTGTGATTTCCTCTAAGGATCCCATGATCAGAACAAGGGCTAATAATTAAAATCCCCAATCTGTACAATCCCTAGATCCTGTGGAAGTTTTGTACTGCTTGAACTATTGGGTTGAAGAATAGATTGAGATTGCAATCTACTGTATATCTGGTGATCTTGAAATAGAACCCTTCTTCGACGGAATTAGAACTCCCCGATGAGAGAATTAGCACTCCCCGATGAGAGAATTAGTTGCAGACGAATCCCTCCGACCTAGTTTTGGACAGATTAATTTGAGACAATACTTAATTCGGCAGCAGAGAATTGGAGACAGGTGTTAGAAAATGGCGCGTATTAGATTAGACTGAAGAAAAAAATATTACTTTTTATTTTTTGTAATCAAATAATTTATAAGAAAATTTTAAAATAAGAAAAAAACTAATATTTATAATTATGATGAAAAAAGTTTGAAATAAATTATGGTTTTTATTCAAATCACAAGTTTGGTAGTAAATACAAACTCTATCAAAACTTTTATTAATTTAATATTTTTAAAAGTTGTTCAAGGACATTGTTAATAAACAAAATGGCTGATTTAAACTACTACAAACAAAAAATAGTTTTAGCAACTAAAACATCCTCGTTGAATAGAAAAAAATTTAATTACAATATACCATACAAATAACTAAATTCTAGAGAGATTGTAACAAGTGATATTTTTTTTCTGTAAAATCATGGTAAATATTTTTGTTCTTTAATTTTTTTTCACACAATTCACCATTATGAAAAAATGTTTGCAATTATTGCAAATTGCCATAATTAAGTACATTGTGTACATACAAGAAATTTTCAAATTTCAGGTGGGTCAATGGTCATAGACTCATGGTCCCACACGCTCCAGGACATATACGTCCTGATGGTTATATATTAAATTTTTAAAATTTTGTGTTATTATATTACAGTAAGGTGACATAGATTTGTAGGGAGAATATTCATTAATTTATCTTTTCCTCGTTCAAAGTTGGACAAATCCACGTGTAGGATTAAAATAAAGAAGAAAATATACAGTTTTAAAGTAAATTTGGCTTTGATCAAAGCTAAATATGCGCATTTGCGGACCTCCAGGTAAATAATATAATAATTCGAAGATCATGATATGAAATTTAATGATTATTTGTTCATCGTAGTATNGTGGTATTTTTCTGTAAGCAGCTTTGAACCTCTAATAGGTATAATTAATTATGTGTATCTATGATATATAGAGTAGTTGTTGATGTTAATGTTACTGTGATGTATAAATTAATAAAATGGCCACCAATATATTATTAATATTTCTGTCAAATTTACCTGAAAAGTTGGTTGATAATTGAAAATTAACTTGTAACTTATAAGTAATTGCGAAGTTATAACTAATGGTTAGTGGATAGAAAAATTAGTTGATAAAATAAAATTGTTTTGATAAAATTTGTTGATAAGTTTGAAACAAAAAATTTAACTGAATTTTCTTCTAAAAGCTACTTAAAAAAACATATGAAATAAACTCAAACTTTTTTAAATTTTACCAAATCAATCTTATTTGAATATAAAGAATTTACTCTTTGTATTTAAATTTTTATGTTTTGATCACAAATTATAACGTGAGGTAACCTACTCATTAGGCGACTTCACTAGGCATGCATCTTTAACTAAAATATAATTATATTATAAAATATTATATTTTTATTTATATTACTTTTTAAAATGCGACGTTTTGAAAATATGCCATATCTATTAAAAATTATGATTGCGTAGCTAACTGTTAGCCCGATTAACAACGATCTATTTAAAGGAGATAATAGTTTATAACTTAACAAGTATATTGTGATTCATTTGGAAAGATCGAACATCACATGCACTTTAAAAGAAATATATCATTGAATTTCGTATGGAACTCAAATTTTATTTTAGTTTTTTAAGAAAAGTTTTATTGAAAATAAAGGAAAAAGGAAAAAGAAGAATAAAAAGTAGAAATAGAAATGAAAAAGAAAAAACATAGAGCGCCTAAATAGGTGAAAGCAAGTGCGATAAAATCTTCTGTGAAAAGGACCAAAAGGATTTGATTATGTTTGACTAAATATTGAAAGCATTTTGAACAATTAATTGATTAGTCAATAATTGTACACAAAACTTTTACTCTTAAGCTTTAAATTGGATTTCATCAACTCTATGTCGATTACACCAAATTGAACACTGCTATACGAAAAGAATATTGTGATGTAATGTAATATCATCACCAATAATGCAAGATATAATATTATATAGCAATATATTACTTAACATAATACAATTACTAAAATTTGATATAAATATACAATGATGAGAAATGCTGTTCATTACTCCACTTCATAGCACTTTTGAAAAATGTATACAATGATGTTACATATATAACGCGTAAAGAGATACTATTTCTTAATTATAGCTAGTTAAATCGTGATTTTTTAAATGTATATTTTAATAAGGGCATATGTATAGCATGTTAGCATTCACTATTAATAATGGTTATTTAGGAATTCTCTTTCTTTTTTCTCAATATATATATCCGTTGTATACAAAGAAAGATGAATTTTTGTTTTGACTTAAGAAATTTTACGTTCTTTCATTTGTAATTTTGAAGAGAATATGAGAGAAATTTTAACTCAGAAAATCATCCGTACCTCCCTTCTCTACAACAGTAAAACCTCAAAAAATAAAGATTAGGATGGGAGAAAAGTAATTAGAATTAGATTAAATTTTCTCTTAATTTTAAATAATTTCATACTTTTTATTTTTAAATTCAACCATACTTTATTATTCTACCACCATTCTTAGCCAAACAAAATAATTTAAGACTGCTTTTAAACAAAACTTAACGCTTAGACAATTATAACTTAAAAAAAATTAACGCGTAAACAATTATAACTTTAAAAAATATGATATTTGATAACATAAATTTTTACGTTTAAAAAAAATAGACAATCCGACTAATAATTATGTCAAAAAATTGCATTTTTTCCTATCAATTCCTTTTTTTTTTCTATTTGTTCTATTAAAAACCCCCCAATCTAGCTCTTCCCTTCACTAAATCCAACACACATTTGCATCACAACCAAAAATTGTTTCTTAGTAATTACAAAAAAACATATATTATTTAAATTGAAAATTATAATAAGAGGAAAATGAAGCTTGTGGTACAAGCATCAAAAAATAACAACTGGCCATGAAGAAGCCAAAGTCCCACAAGCAACAAAGCGCGACAATCTATTCTCCTCATAATCCTAATTTCCCTTTCCACACGTCAGCATGACGTCATCGCAGCAGGATGTGAACAAATATGGACGGACCCAAAAAAGAACAAAAAAAAAAAAGAATTATATTTAATTTGCGGATATTTATTTGTACAGCTCAAATTGAAAATAATAATTACAAAAATTCAAAAATTATTTTTTAAAGGGGGAAATTCAGTTTCCGCGTGGAGAGATGAGGGAGACAGAAGTGAACTGTACGTGAGAAGAAAAAAAAAAGTTGATAGACAGAAAGGAATTTTAAATTAATTTTGCTTTATTTATTTCTAGATCCATTTAAAATCTCCCCTATTTCCTGGGGCTAATCTAAAGAATAAAAAACAAAACAGCTTTCAAATTTATTTATTTTACTAGTATTGTTTTGTCTTATACAATGAATCAGTATATATCTTCATAAAAATATATTAATTAAAAATCTTTACGATAAGACTGTTTTAAATTTACCGATTCACAATTTTTTAGTTCATTTTTTTCTACACGAGTAAAATTAACCAACTTTTCAATATAAGATTTCTATACTTTATGTCCGAAAGTAGACTTAAAATACACGAGTCTTTTTTTTCTTACTGTCACATTAACTGAACTCGATCTACTTTTGTCATGTTTGAGACCATTTTTTAATTTCTACACCATGTATTATTTATCACATTCATGAAATTTTTATTAAATAAATTTAAATTATTGTGGATGCTCTTGTATATCTATTTCATTTTTTCAATAATTCTTATGTTAGACCAAACTAATGATTAAGCAACAATACTCTTTTCATAAGTTCAGATACTTTTATTAAAATTGTCACGCTTTAAACAACATAAAATTAAAAAAAAAAAAAGTATTATATTTATCGTATAAGTACATATTTTTGTTCACAAATCATAACAGATCAATTGGTGTGTAATGCTTAATTCGCCTTATACAAGAGACTTTGACTTTTTTCTTTTTTTTTTTATTTAAATTGTGATTACCTTCAAGTTTCCCAATTTGCCTCATCAGGACCATTTGGCAATTACCCAAATTATTTGCTTTGAATTTCTTTCT